CTCTGCTCCTCCATCCCTTCTCCATCCCTCCACACAAACTTGTGTGCAGCCCCTGCGTGTGCAACCCCAGTACATGCAACCACTGCTCATGCACACGCATGACACAGGCACATGAATCAGCCCCAGCTGGATGCGTGTGCACCCACAGACAGACCCACATGGGCCTCCCCTCGCCATCCACCTCCACGGTGGCACCTGACCCCCATCCCCATTGTCAGTGGGATGCTCTCCCGCCTTTGGGTGCTGGGTGGCCATGCTGCCTGTGGTGTCCAGCTCCAGCCCTGGGCCGGGTGCCAAATTCCTCCGCCTCCGCAGGAAGCTGTCGACACTGGCTCTGCAGCAGGGCCAGGCCCGGCCAGAGGGATGCCGGAGGGATGCCGGAGTGGGAGAGGGCTGGAGGAGAGAAAGCAGGTCAGCCCCTAGCCGCCAGCGTCACCCTGGCAGCGGCAGCGGCGGCGGCTCCTTCGAGGAAGCAGGGCGAGGATCGGCCCCGTGACGTCCCTCCGGCGCTCACGGCCCGGCCAACGCACTCAAGGAACCTGCTGGGTCCTAAACAGGGGGTAAGCCCCAAACGGGGGCGTTTTCTCCCCCCAGGGGCTCCCACAGCCTGAGGATGAGGAGGGAAGTGACCCGCTGTGGGGCTCAAGGGTGTGATGAAGGGGAGTAGAGGGTTCAGCTCAGGCAGCGCCTGCACTGTCTCCCTGTGGTGTTCCATCCCTGTGTGCTGCTCCCATCCCTGGGCATTGCTCCCATCCCCAGGTACTGCTCCCAGCCCTAGGTACTCCTTCTACACCCCTGTTGTCCCCCCAGTCCCAGGTGATGTCCCTGGGTACCACTCCATCTCCAGGTGATGTGCCCACCCTGAGCCCTGCTCCCATCCTGGGTGCTGCTCCCAGCCCTGAGCAGTGCTCCCATCCCCACACTGTCCCCTCCACCCCCGGGTCATGTCCGTGCTCCAGGTGATATCCCCATCCTCGAGTAGCTCCATCTCCAGGCAGTGCTCACCCCAATCCATGCTCCCAGTCTGGGCACTGCTCCCATCTTCATGCCAATCCCATCCCCTCGTACTGCTCCCATCCCTGGACAGCACTCCCTCCCTGTGTCAGAATCCCGCTCCCATCCCCGCCCCCATAACCCCCTTCCCCCCACCTCATCCCCCTCCCCGCGGTGGGAACCCGGGGGTCCCTGCCCTTCTCCCGTGCTCCCTCCCCTCCTCCCTGCCGCCGCTTAAACACAAACACGGCTCAGTGGAAAATGTGACCGGCCGAGGAGCTGCCGATAACTGGGGCCAGGATGGGGCCAACTGGAACAGCACGGGCTTGGCTGCGGCTCTGGCTCAGCCCGGGGCAGTCGAGGGTGGGGGCGGGGGACCCTGTGGGGAAGATAGTTCGGGACTCCCTCCCGCCTCATTCCCTCCCGCCTCCAGCATCCATCCGACACCACTCCGGCACCCGGTGCTGACTGCGGCCCCGCGGGAGGGACACAGGGGAAGAGGGGACACACAGTGGGACCTGTGCTTGGCCCAGCTCTGCCCTGCGCGGGGGGGTGGAGACCCCCGGGATGATGGTACATGAGCAGGATGGAAGTGCCTGGGGATGGTGCTGGATGGAGAGGATGGAGATGCCCAGGGATGGTGGTACATGGGCAGGATGGACATTCCTGGGATGGTACTGGAGGGACAGGATGAAGATGCCCAGGGACAGTGCTGAATGGGAAGGATGGAGTTGTTCAGGGTCAGTGGCACGTGGGCAGCATGGAGATGCCAAGGGACAATGACGCACGGGCAGGATGGTGGTGCCCTGGGATGGTGCTGGATGGGGAGGTTTGGTGTTGCCTGGGGATGGTGACAGATGGGTACAAATTAGATGCCCGGGATCAGTGGCTCATGGACAGCACAGAGATGCCCTGGGACATTACTGGATGGAGCGAGGATGGAGATTCCCAGGAATGGTGCTGGATGGGGGGATGGAGATGCCTGGTGTGGTGGCGCAGAGGCAGGATAGAGATACCCAGTGATGGTGGCATGTGGGCAGGATGGAGATGTCCAGGAGTGGTGCTGGACAGGGAGGACAGAGATGCCCAGGGCCGGTGCCAGATGGGGAAGACGCAGGTGCCCAGGGCTGGTGCCAGGAGGGCCGGCGGTGCCCGCGGGAGGACGGTGCCAGGAGGGCACCGGGAGGTGCAACCCCGTCCCCACAGCCGGAGGTGTGTGGGCCGGGAGCAGCCGCGGCCGAGGAGCCCGTTTGTTTCTCATTAGCGGCTCTTGGCAGGAGCTGTGGAAAAAATAGCTTCAAACAGGGAGCTGGAAGGGAAAAGGCTGGGCCGAGGGAGTGGAGAGGGGCCGTGGTGGGGAAGGGGGGCACGGGGCCAGGCGGGAGCGGGGAGGGGGTCCAAGGGACGGTGGCCTGGACGGGGTGGGGGGATAGGGACAGGGGGACACGAGATGTTCCCTCTGCGGCGTCACGGCGGCCAAGGGAGAGGCGGCTGGGTCCGTTCGGGGACCTCGGTCATGCGTGTGACCGTGCTCACTTGTGCACACTCGTACACGTTTGTACATGTTTGTTACAGGCTTGCACACGCACGTGTGCACAGGGCAGTGAGCATAGCGCATGTGTGCACCCTCGATGACCTGAGCAGCCCCTAGGAGGGGACAGGGACACACGGCTGGGCACATCCATCTACACGGGGCATCTCAGCCCCCCGTCCTCCCAGAGAAACTGAGGCACGTCGAGAATGCCCCCGGGGCCCCATCCCTGCCCCGCCATGGGGCTCCCGCTACCGCCGCAGCTGGTTCTCACGTTTTGGGGGGGGGCCTGTCACAGCCCCTTACGCAACCGCGTGTCTGCGAGCGCCGCCAAGGCAGCCCAAAGCGAGCAGGGGGAGCGCGGGGAGGGCCCGGGGTCCTCCCTGCCTCCTGCCACGACAAGAGTTTGGCAGCGACGGGGGCGTGACCCTCCCTGGCGTGGCTGTGCCAGGGTGGCACCGGTGCCAGGCTGTCCCATGTGTCCCCTCCCGTGACACCACCCTGGCCGGGGAAACGGGCAGCGGGCGAGACGAGGTCACTCGGGGACACGGCTGGGGATGGCGCTTGTCCCTGCGCCGGAGCTGGTGGCACCGTGGCAGCCTTGGCAGCGGGCAGAGGGTTGGCACCGCGGTGCCCTGCAGGCACAGGGAGACTTCCACACGGGGCTCCGTGTGCCAAGGGATGCATGTGTGTGTGTGTGTGCGTATGTGTACATGTGTGCACATGTGTGTGCACCCCCTGTGCTGGTGCTCGCGTGTCCGCCCGGTTTGCCTGCCAGCACCCACCTGGCGACACGGATGTTTCTTCCTCCAGCCGGGATTTAATTCCACCCTTTCTGCGGCTGGTGTGTAATTAGGAGCCCAAAAGAAGCCCCGGGCACCATTCCCCTCATACCCTGGGGGGGCACCCACCCAGTACCCCGGGCTGGGCTCAGGGGGCAACACCTGGCCCTGAGGGGGTGAAGGAGCCCCTTGTCCAGCAGCAGAGACTGACAAACTCAGTATAGTCAGGATGAGCTGTCTCGCCTGGTTGGGGGGCTCTACCTGAGCAAGAGGCTGATTTTGGGGGGTCCCCGCCAAGGCATGGGAAGACACGTGGTGGCAAATCTTTCGTTAAACCCTTGAGCTAATTATGGGGCTGGAGCTGCCTGTGACCCCTGTGGTAAAGCCCTCGTGCCTCAGGCAGCCCTAAACTCCTTAGGGGGATGATCCTGCTTAGGGCACCCCACGGCTCATTCCCCCCGCCGACCCTCTATTTCTCTAACCCTCCCTTCCAAACTGTCCCCTTGTACCCCCACCCACATTCCCTCTTCCACCACCTCCCCATCTGCCCTTGGGCCACTTACCTGCTCACCGATGCCACCACGGTGCCAGGGGACAGAGTGTGGGCCACCCCCTGTGTCACCCGGCTCAGCCTGGCATGGGGCTCAGGGAGCTGATTGGATCTGGGAGCTTATGGTGCTGAGCTGGCAGCTCGACGGTTCTTCACACTTGCAGGGGGATCTTGTGCTTTCAGCCTTGTTGCCTCCTCCTCATCCTCACCTTGGCCTTGGCAGCAGAGCACAACCCCAGGATGTGCCAACCCGGGGATCCCCTCTATCACCTCAAGCACTCCTTTTGTCACCCTGAGCATCCCCTGTGTCACCCTGGGAAACCTCTTTGTCACCTTGAGCACCTGCTGTGCCATCATCCTGAGTACCATTCTGGGCATCCACTGTCACCCTGGCACCCCATCTACCACCCTGAGCACCCCTTGTGTCACCCCAGCCATCTACTGTTACCCTGGCACCCCACCTGTCACCCCGGGCACCCCATCTGCCACCCCAAGAACACCCTGTCACCCTGAGCAGTCCCTGTCACCTCATGCCCTCCCCAGTTTGGAGACTTCTCTCCTCAGCAGGGTGCCAGCACCCCTTGGCATAGTCCCACCCCTAAAAAAGCCCAGTTTACCCCAAACTGCCCCACCACGGGGGTGCCCCCTGAGCCCCCCACCCAGTACAAGGTCCACAGTGGGGCAGGGAGGGTGCAAAGGGCACTGGGTGTGGGGTGCTGGGCACAGGGAGTAGGGTGCGCCCGGGTCCAGAGGGCGGCTCTGGCACGGAAGTGACATGGCTGGGCCGGGGGACACCTGGTTCGTTGGCAGGGGGCCGGGGGGGCACGGAAGTCACGGGCACCCCGCAGAGGGTGCTATGCCTGGAAGGAGCCCGTGGGGATGGGGGCTGTGGGATGAGGAGATGGAGAGATCTCATAAGCCCCATAGGTGTGGGGACAGGGCTGGGGTGGGCAGCCACCCCTGAGTGCCAAGGAGGGGGTATGTGCCAACCCCCAGCACACACCTCCCCGTGTCCCCAGGACTACGTTCTTCATCATCGCCATCACCATCGTAGTCATCGCCTTCCTCATCCTCACCTTCCGCCTCTGCTACAAGTTGTGCCAAGACCCTGTGCCCCCCCC